GAAACTGCCAGCTTCCTCGTGCGGCATCACGAGATGCGAGATAAGGGCGGGCATTTTTCCTCCTCTAATCGATGCTTTGGAGATGCTTGGAAATACCTCGCGAGCAAGTTCCTCGTTGTAGAGCAGCAGACGGGGTGCAGACAGCACCGGGGAGGACAGCGGGGGCTCCGCGTCGTGCTGTGGGAGGGCATGCAAAACGTGTGGCTCTACCATTGAGCAACTTCCCGTCAGCAGGGCACATCCACGCCGCCCGCCCGGCTGTGTTTGAGCACTGTCACACTCCTGTCACACGCTGTGGTGAAACGAGGCGGATTTGGCGTCCTTGGTGAGCCCTGAGCAGGGAGGTGATGCTCTGTTCTTGTCTGTCAGGTGTTGGCAGGGTGATGCCAGCTTGACCCAGAGCCATGTCCAGGTACTTGAAGCACTTCACGGTGGTGGGTGATGACCCAGTGCAGTGGAGCAACGACTATAAGAAATGGGAGGAAGAGGAGGAGGATGCCGGGGAGAAGCAGCCAGATTCGGAGATCAAACTGGAGCCCACCAGGAGAGACGTCTCCTTCCAGGACATGATGAAAAAGCTCTTCAGCTCCCGCAGGTTTCAGGTGAGGCAGAACAAACCCGGGCTGAAGGGAGATGAGTGTGAGATTTGGCCAAAGGCACCTATGGCAGCAGAGCCGATGTGGGATGGAGCTCATGAGCAGCCACGGTGCTGCAAGAGCGGCTGCTGCCTCCCAGCCGAGCTGTCCCATCAGAACATGCCACTCTGCAGCAAGTGCAGGTGTTTCCTGGCTGGTGTCAAGCCTCAGTGCATGCTCCTCACAGCTTGAGCTCTCCAAGACACCCCCTATGCCAAATGCTGGGCAAAGGCTGGGTTTGGTGGGCACCCAGGAGGTTTCGTGTGGGTGAGACTTCACAGGAATAAACCCACTGACCAGGGGCTGCAGGAGCAGGAGTGCTGGCTGGGAGCAACAGAAAGCTCCATGAAGGACAACCAGGCAAACTGGGGACCCAGGGCATTGGGGCATGTTTAGCTGAAGGCTCTATTGGCTCCTCTTGCTGATTTGTCTGTGTTGGGTGGGGGTTCATATCAGTTCTTCTCCTCCAACAGATCTTAGTTGTCTGTTTGGTCATCCTGGATGCCTTGTTGGTTCTTGGGGAGTTGCTTATGGACTTGGAAATCATCCATCCGGACAAATATAATATAACCCCAAAGGTAAAATATAGGGTGATCTCTCTTTCTTTAGTGGTTCAAAGTCCCCTAGATGGGATGACTGGGCAAAGCAGGACCTGGACCTGCAGCTGCGCTGAGGCAGCAGTCACAGGCACACAGATGGAGGCCTCACCAAGACTCGTGTGACAGCCCTGCAGCGTGTGAGACCAGTCTGGCTCAGTTCATGTTATCCATGCAGCAGCCTTGTGTTTCCTTGGGCTGCAGCAGAGCTGAATCACTCTTACCATCCTTCTCCTGGTCATCTTCACACTTTCTGGTCTAGTCCACTGGCTGCCACATGCTCTGGTTGTCCTTTAAAACAGAAGTCCCCAGCCCTTCCCCTTGTAGAGCCAAATCAAACATGTCCCTGGGTGTAAGAGGTTTTCCAGCCTGCCCTGCTCATGAGCATGCAGGAAGGTTTCCTGGCCCTAACCTTGTACTGTCTTTTCCCAGGTTTTCCACTACCTCTCCCTTTCCATTTTAACTATCTTCCTGGTTGAGGTGGGGTTTAAGGTCTTTGTCTACCGCTGGGAGTTCTTCCACCACAAGTTTGAAGTGCTGGACGGGATCGTGGTCATTGTGTCCTTCATCCTCGATGTCGTCCTCATCTTCCGGGAGCACGAGTTCGAAGCTGTCGGGCTCCTGATCCTGCTCCGGCTGTGGCGGGTGGCCAGGATTATCAATGGTAGGTGTGAGCTTTCCCTGCTGCATGGGCTGGATTTGCCTACCTTGCCTGAATTACCTGGCCTCAGGTCTTTGCTCCTTTCTCACAGCCGTATCCCAGACCCCAGGGTCTTGCTTTTCCAGCGAACTCAGAGTTTCATGGATGTGGGTTTTGTTGCTCGAGCGTGGCCTTAATTAGGCTGGAATTTCTTTGGAGCAGCAATAATCTGCTGCTTGTTAGTGTGATGCCTCAGTGATGGCCAGCTCCAGCATTGCAGAATCAGGCACATTCCCCTGAAAGCAACCCATAATCTGTGCTTGCATCCTGGAGGGGATGGCTCATGCCTTAGGTTTGCATGGTAGGATCCTTCTGGCGATGTTTTAACAAAGGAACAGGGTAAAACCCTGCCTTCCCGAGTCGACTTCTATGGCAGAGTAGGTTTTGCTGCTCTGATTCCATCATCCCCTGCATAGCTGCTGCAGGGAACATCCTGATCCCACTCTGCATCTTTCTTACTTGGATTCAAAGGGTTTTTCATAAGAAGAGGAACATCCTCAAATCAGACCTTACTGAGTCTCTTGGTGAAATTGTAATTGTTCCAAATAGATGTGAATTCAGACACTTATGAAGCAAGTGTAGCTAGAAACATCTTCTCCCATCTTGGGGAAGGAATTTGGGGAGTTAAAAATGTGGCAATGAGATTATCCCTAATTCCTGCATGAAACCTCAGCCTAAGTGCTGTCCTGTGCCTCCGAGTCCATTCTTGGTGAGTGCTCTGTACTTGATGCAGCTCCAGGTCTTGTTGGTTGGAATGAAAGGCAAGGATAGCTGGGGCCGTGTCCTTTGCCTGCAGGCACCCGCTGCTGTTATGATGGGGAGAACATCCCTGGTCAGCAGAAGTGTCCGGGAAGGGGGGAAATGTGAAAGCAGCATGTGTTTCTTTGTAGTTCTAGTGAAAGTCAGAGAGAAACTGAATGTGTGCAGCTGCCTGAGCCCCAAAAACCTTGGTGTCTCTTAACATGCCATTTTACAGCAGAAAACCAGTACTGCATGTACAAGTAAACCCCCTTAATCCTGGAGTGCTCCTGGTTTCCCCCCCCCCACCAAGCTTTTCACCATGCCCACTCACTTGGAGCAAGAGGGGACAAAGAAAATCTGCCCCAAGCTTTGGTGTTGTGTGTCTGAGCCCTGCACAGTTCACGGTTCACTGCCCATAGGGACCGGGTTACACGCAGGTGGGGACTGTTTGATGTTATCAATGCAAATAAGCAGCATCGCTGCTTTGTCTTGAGGAAGGAACCCCAAACCCCAGGCTGCAGCACTAGAAACACAGGCACGCTTCAGTGCCTGCCTCCGTGCACGTTGTCCTGGCAGCAGCTGGAGGAGAGCTCTGCCGGGTACGAAGAACGTGATGTTCTTGATGCTCTTACCAGGCTATTTTGTTTTTTTCCCCTCAGAAAAGGGTGGGAGGAAAATGTCTTTACTGTGGGGGCTGAGTTCACATGTAAGAACCTCACAGTATTTCAGTAGAGAAGTGACACCTCCGCTGGAATGAGCGTGTCCTTAGTGCAGCTGTGCAAGGTGAAGCCAGAACACCTCGAGATGATGTGCTGTGTCTGTGTCCTGTTACACTGGGCCACAGTGGTCAGCCCCAGAGGTGGATGAGCCTTGTGCCCAGGCTGTGCTGAGAGTAAGGCTCCCCACTACATGAAACCAGCTAAAACACAGCCCCTGGTGTTTTTTGTTGTGAGGAGCAAAGCTTCCCCCAGTTATATCCCCTCAGGCTCTGCCAAGGGAGCAAATTCAAATTGAGGATGTGAATGAGAGTCTGATTAATTCAGCTCAGAGGCTAGACTGCCTCTTGCCAGCAGTGTCGGTATCTGAATCCCTGGGGTGGCTAATTTCAAACCCTCCTCATTAAGAAAAGCACTTGGGAAGGGTGGTTTGGAGATGACAGAACCAGAGCTCGAGAGGAACACATTTAACTCCTTAAGTACAGACCCTGTGTACTGTTAACCTCCTGCCTGGGGCTCTTCTACCTTGTAAAACAAATCCACTGTGAATTGTTTCACAGGAATCATTTTATCCGTGAAGACCCGCTCGGAACAACAACTGTCCAAGCTCAAGCAAGTAAACCTGAAACTTGCCACAAAGGTTGAACAACTGGAACACAGCTGTGTCGAGAAGGTAAGAAAACACATAATTTAAAGGAGGTTTACCTGCTGGCTGCTCCCCAGGGTGAGCTGCTGGGATCCTTTTGCAAGGTTACTGCTCTCAGTTTGGTTTCCTCATCAGAAAGTTGTGGGGCTGAAGAGCCACAGCTCTGCCTGTACTTCCCAGAGCAGCTCCTCTTGCAAAGGGATGACGGCTGCCTCTGCCATGTTTTAGCCAGGTCGTCCTGTTTTACAGCAGCACAAGATACATTACAGCAGTGGGAAGATCTGTGGGAACCTGGGAAACTATTTTAAGGTAAGAGCTCTATTAATGATTTGATTTTTGTCTCCTACAGGAGCAAGAAATTGAGAGGCTTAACAAGATACTAAAACAGCATGGACTCATCAGCGAGGAAAAGTAGGAGGCTGGTTTTCTGAGGTGGGAAATCTGCCCTGGAGAGTGCAGTGTTGACATCTACCAGTCTGACCTGCAAGGTTTTTCTGTCTCTTTGCTTTCTCTTGTGTAAGTGTTTTCTATAAACATTTTCTATTTGACCACGCTTTGATTAGACCTTGGGATGGCAAAAACAGTTCTGTGGAAAATTAATCACACGTACTCCCGCAACAGTGATTTCGTAAGAACCTTCCTTGTACAGTTGTACAGGCCAAACTGCAAAATAACTTAATAAAGACACATCTTTACAAGCTACACACCCACGAAAGTACCACTTATTTGAAATAAGTTCATTTTTTCAGTCATAATGTTCTTTGTCTGTAACATCTTGTAGAAACTGGCAGTACCACCGATAGGAACCCAGGCTGAAAGCTTATTGCTTCCCTACAAACTGACCATTCATCGCTGGTACATCTCTCCTGTGCCAACCATTCTTTTCATAGTGTTGGTAGTTTCCTCCCTGCTGTTGCTGCTTATGCCACTTGGTTATTTATATAATGTTTGTTTCAAAAATACCAACACACCACTCCCTTAGATGACAATCGAAATCAGCACCAAAATAGAGGCCAAAATGTGCCATCTTACGTCAAACAATGCCTTGTTCTCAGCAGCAGATCTGAGTCCTGATACTGCATTCTCTCATCCCTGCTTCCATTTTAAGTGTTGCTTTGTGGCCTGCTGGGCTACAGAGTTCTTTGTTTCCACAGCTCATAAATCAATGCATTAGAAGAATTGGAATATGTAAGAGCAGATGTAGGTGAGTGCACTGCTGGGAACCGTGAAGACTCCAGAAAGGCCATTCAAAGAGGGTGTTCTGAAGGACCAGGCTGGTGTTTGAACGCTTTTCAGGTACTAAAAGGTCTCTGTGGAGAGACTGCTTTACAGTTGAAGAGGAAGATTCAGTAAGTGGGAATTCTGAAAGGTGTTGAGTGTAGCAGGCATCTCCAGTTGATTTCAGCTGGAATGGCCATTGAGCTCTCCCAGAAGCATCACTTAACTGGTCAGATTTTGAAAGAAAGGCATAATTAATCAGTGGTTTGGGGAAAAAAGCTAGAAATATGTGGCTTACTCGTCTACAAAATAGTTAAAGCCTTATCTAATAGCACATGATTAATTAACAATTTAGTTTTGCTATTCACAGAATAATGAACCCTACTTTCCTTTGGAGCTGTCCCTTCCCCTCCTGCCTCCACACTGCTCAGCAGAGCAGCCAGTGTGCTGGGAGGCTGGTGGCTCTGCTGACTGGGCACCCAGAGCCACCAGCAGGTTCAGACTCAAGCTTTTTTCCTCCTGGCAGAGGTATAATTGGTAACTTTCCACTTAATGTGTGTTTCTGCCCTGAAGCTTCTGAGAGCCCTCACAAGGTCTCACCCTTTCTCTCTTGGGCCATTTTAACCCAGTGTGTTGACAATTCAGAAGAAACTGATGGCCCATCACAGCAACTGGATAAACCTCAGTTGTTTAGGAAATAAACAAGTCAGAAAAAGCAGAAATATGGTTTGTTTTGGGTTTTTTTTATGCATACTTACCTTAGACAAATGGAAAGAAAAAATCAAAGGGTAACTTGGCATTAATGGTGGGCCAAGCTTTATAGCCTGGCTCTGCAGGTGAAGAAACATCCGTGAAAACAACAGAACTTGTTATAGGAATAGTCCTTTCCCTTCCTGAGGGAGGCTGCAATGAAAATACAAATGGTCATTAGCTTCAGCCTTCTCTTCGTACGACTGCTTTGTTTGTGCTGGGTTGTATTTTCAGCTGTTATTTGTAAAAAGTTTGGGTTTTCATATACAGCTCCATGTGTCTCTCCATGAATGACATACAGATTTTTATTGAAGTGTGTCTTGGCAAGCAGCCCACAGTTGTGTTTGAGTTGGAACAGAAACTGTTGGGTATAACACAGTCTAATATGAAGTGCTACTTTTAGATAAAGAGATTAACTGGGTCACTGTTGCAGAGCTGATACCTAAGCAAAACAAGCCATTCTTTTTATCATGGGTCCTGTAATTGAATTACATACCTGCTTCAGTGCGGTGGTAGTGATGGTTGCTGTAACATTCACTATTCTGGCTTGTGGATTGACTAGGGATCCATATTTAGTCCACTTCACTTCTATTTCAAGTGATACTGGTATTTGGCATGAGCTCTGAAAAGTGTTATAAAGTCTCTCATTGTCTGACTCGTACAGAAACAACCACATTAGTTATTCGTGTTATTAAACTGGCAGAATGCCCCCACAAAGCTGGCTCCAGGAGCTTCCCGAACTCCTACACCATGCCTGCGCCCTGGACTGCTGCCTCTGCAGGCAGCACAGGCGTTGCAGCCTTGGCTCAGGGGTGTCCCAGCAGTTTCTCCACAGGTGACAAACCGACTCTGTAACTGCATTTCAAGCAGGGCTGTTCTACCTGAGGCAGGACTGTGGCTCTCAGTGTTAGTGCTGAGCTAGCTCTTTTTAGTAGGAAGGCTTATTTCAGCAGAAAATCCTTAGCTCTGTCAGGGCAGAATTTGGAAGCCTCCAATCTGAATTATTTTTAGGTATTTCTTTGTGAACTGTCAAGTTTCTGGTTACAGAAATGATTCACTGTTTAGTTGCAAAAGCCTGCAAGAAAGCTATATGCAAGCTGTTGCTGAGGGCGTGCTGCCATTCAGCACGTGCCAGGCAGCACTGCCTGACACCAACAGCAGGATCTGTGCTGTTGGGAGGAAAAAGACTAGTACAGAGGATGTCAGAAATTAATGTAGTGTTTGGGTCACTCACATGTACTGTTTCTGTGCTTGAAAGGATTCTTGTTGTCTTACTCTAACCTGGTATAAGCACCAAGGACAAGTACTGTTTCTGTTACTTCGCTTTTTCAACCATACATATTGTGCTTTGTCTCCACCTGAAGAGCAAGACTCTAAATGTGGATAGAACTCATTTTGTACCTAACATGTTGTCCTGATCCATAACTGAGATGCCTGGATACCAGCTTGATTAAAGGTAAACCCCATGTTCTAGAGCAAGAGTGAAACTCCTCATTTGTGACTATCCCAGGAAATCTTTCCTCCAGTTTGGTTATGCATTTTTTTTCCCTGTAGGTCTGAGAAGCCCGGGCTGGTGCTGCAGTACAGGGACAGGGACAGGTCTGAGGAGGGAGGACAGCAAGAGTGAAGGGCATAGTGGTAGTGGTGTTACTTTCACCTGTTCTGAGATGTGGAGGTGAGTTATTGGCACCCAGTCGAGCACATCCTGGGCTTGAGAATTCCCAAATGAGGCCACGTATTCAGGAAAGCTTTGTCCCTTCAGTAAATCCAGGAGGGCCTGAGCCAAAGGCTGGCATTTCATAGCTGCTGTAATTCTTCCAGGGAGAAAAAAAAGATGCATTAAAGCAAAATCCATCAGTCTGGCACAGTAATAATTTCTCCTTGCTCTCATGTGCTGTTCAAGCCTTCTGGCTACAGCTGCTAATGTACACAATCTTTCCAAGAGAAAGACCCTTGTTAATTAAATGACATGTCTTATAATTAAATACTCCATTCCCAATACTCCCACAGCTGTATAAATGTCCCAGGACCTGAAACAGATCCTAATGGAAAGGGTTGCACTGAATAATAAAAGAAATGGCCTCTTACCGCAACTTACAGCCTGATATCATGTTATAACCAAATAACACTGGGGCTCTGGCTCCCTGTGCTGCCAGACAGTCCTGGTTGGATGTACTTTGCAGAATGGTAAGTTGGCTGTATTTGTTAGTATTTTGAATGATGCCAGATGTAACACACAGTTAAAGGGAAATTCAATACTTGATGTATATTGTGAAGAAAGAATCCTTAGTCATATCCTTAAAATATAGCTGAAAATGCTACAATAGCTCAAGACTCCTCTTACACTGTGATGAAGCACTGGAGTGTACAATGAAGGTCTAAATCTATCTCACTAAACAGTCCCAGGAGATTGCAGTCAGGACTGAGTCATTTGCTACTTCTAAAATACAGCCCTTTTAAAAGCACACTTTTACATTGGGTAAAGAACAGATTATGTATTATTATAGATGCCCATGCTAGAAAGTATTTGTGAGGATGGACCAACAAAAGTGCTGCAGACATCATTTCAACAGGAAAAGGATATCCTTGTGGCCGGAAACCTGCTCTTACAGGCAGTCCAACAACATAACCAGGATTACCACTGAGTGGAACTGGCGTTGTATTTACCTGCAGTGCAAACATATGGTATTAGTTCTTAACCTGTACTGAAATGGCTGGAAAACACAGAAATATTTGTGATTTTAGGATTATTGATTGCCTTGAACAATGATAGTAGTAAGATAGTAACAGTAAGCTTGTAACAGTTCTCTTAACATTGGTGCAGGCTTTTCTTTCACTGGATACAGTTACAGAGAGTCGCAAGACGCATCTTCCAAATGTGAAAACCAGACTTTGGAGGCTTTTATTGCCCAGTTCCGAAGTGCTGCTTCATTTGTGTATCCAAAGCAGGTTGTATTTTACCTTGCTGCTAACAACTGTTCCAATTCAAGTTTAATAAGTTTTGTAATTAAATGTCTTTCAACAAGTCACCCGTAACATCTCCAGCAGTTACCTGAGTAAAGCTGATTTCAAAGCTCTGCTCTATTGAAAGTGCTTCTTTGTTAATTGCCCCCAAGACAAAAGCAGCAGCTGCTTCTATTATTTCTCCTGCATCTGTGTATGTAATACGATAGCTCACCTGAAAATTAAACATTTTAGATATTAATTAGAATAAATATGTAAGGGTATGAAACTAGAGAAAAGGAATTTAAAAGTATGCAAGTATTTTTTCTCTCTTCCTTGCTTAAGAAACACTCAACTACATGGTAGAAATACACTATAACCTCTAGAGGCTGGAGCCTCTTCACAACTGGCTTCTTGAAAAACCTCTTCTAAGCATAAGGCCAGTGTTCATTTCTTTAAGGTTAAAAGCTGAGATGATGTGCCCTGTGTGTTCCTCTGTCTCTG